TTCAGACACTCCTAACCAGTCAAACCAAATTAACCAGTTAAGTAATTAGTCATACGTCTAACATATATTATATACAGATAATACTTTGCATAACCACTCAAGGTTAACGTTCATCCCTTTTAGACTCATAAAATATAAAGCTCAATATTGCTCATATAGTGTATATTTGTATATGTAAAGTCTAGACCACCACATATGGACGCCTAATTTAGATAAATTTCATACATTATGATGAATGAAAACTTGAAAGGAATGTCATTTCCAGCCTATGATAATTGCTAAGAGACTAAGTCAATTTACACAAACACAACAATTCATTAACGCATACCATTGTCATAATTTTTTGTTAGGTAAATACTTTTATACTAATCGTAAGATAATTGTCTTAGTTGCATGTATTTTTGTTAAGGGTCAACTATAACTACGTGTTGATTGTTATGTTTTATTCATTATATAAATTGTGAATTGTTGCATTAACCGGAAAATTTTCATCGTCAATGATAATGTGATTTTATATTGGTTAATCTGGTTAACCAATTAACCAAACCAATTAAACTTTAGTTTGGTTAATTTGGTTGTTGTATTAGTTTGGACGGTTTGGTTATGATATTGTATTCCATGGTTAATGGAATTTAGCCTTATTTGGTTTGGTTATAACCATGGTAACCATTTGAACACCCCTAATTTTTTCTGTATTTTGTTTGAGGGTAAGAGAAGAAGTGGGTGTGCTTTTGTCTCTGTTTTTAGGAGGAGGAAGAGAAGTGCAGGTGAAGAAGAGGAAGAAAGCTGTAGGATGAAAAGGAAGGAAAAAAAATGGAACTTTTTGCAAAGAAGGGAAGCAGTAGTCGGAAACCGTCCCCTTTGCAAGAACTCAAAGGGTTCTTTTAATAGAAAAGGCAGCTTGGGGAACAAGCTTGCTACTATACCAATTTTGGGTTAGACCAGTTTGGGTTTGGTCAGACCTGAATGGGTTGACTTGTTGACTGGCTTGACCAAGTTGACTTTGATTTTTTTTTACTTTGCACTTTGACTTGGGTTTTGGACTTGGCCTAACAACTATGTAATTTTTATTTTGTATCTGTAATTGTAATGTAATTATCATTTATTGATACTATTAATGAAAGTTCTATTTTTATTCTATTGCCTTTTGTTTCACAAGTCGAGAACCAACCTTAAGCCCAAAATTCAATTAACAAAAATTTGTGATTAATGATAGCCATTGTTAAACTTGTTTGATCATGTGAATACTGATCCAAATTCTGATTAGTGGTTAATTGTTCGATCAAAACCAAATAATGGTAATTAGTAAGTCTACAAGCCCGTAAGTTCAAAAGCAAACTTAAATCGTATTGACCTCTTAAGATTTGCTTTTACTTAATCTTATAGGCCACTACAAGCATACTCGTCCCAAACTTTAACCATATAAAGAGATGTTTAGAAAGTGACTATTGTCAATTCAAAACAAATTGAGTTCTCAACAACTCTTAACTAGTAATTAGAATTAGTAAATTACCCGGACAAAATATGGTGTCGATAATAGCTGTTACCCACCAACTCAAAAATATGAGGTGAAGATGAAAGTTATCTGACAGATACACTTAAAAAGTGTACCATGAGTTGAAGAGCATGACTTAGATATGTGGGCATTCAATGTGAACGGTGGGACTATATATGACATTGCCAAAACTAACAATGATGAAAGTATAAATGGAGTGTACAGAGTGGTCATTACAAATGCCAATTTTTTTCTGTGGTGGAGCTTCCCTTCCGAAGAACAAATGAGTGGTCTGTGAAACGAATTCTTGAGGCCATTGTGATGAAATAGGTTGAAGAGGCGTTATCCAAAAAAGTCTTAAAGGCAATAGAAAATATGAATTCAGGGTCGGTAAGCATAAGTGATCCTTTTGAACTAAGATAGGGTGTATTTGCAATATATAATGCAGATTGGTGGGCGGTGTCGTGGAAGCAATCTTCAAACAATCATCCTTCATCCTATAAGTGGCACAGAGAGTGCACTTGTCAGAAGTTTTGGAATAGATGACTAAACAACTTCGAGTTAATTACCTACCGACACTACAACAATACACAGATGTCATCACCAAACCATTGGGTAGGCAACCCTTTGATAGCAACCTGTTGCTATCGGGTTAGGGTTTGCTTGTAGCTCACAAGCGAGAGAACGACGTAGAGTGTCGAAAGACTGTTTTAGGTTTATTATTTGATTCATTAATCGGACTAATGCCGTGATTACAATATATAGACGACTAAACCTAATACCTAAACCATCAACCCTAGCCGACCCCTATTACTTCCCTAGGCCTCTTGGCCCTCTCCTATCCCAACACATAAACGGAGACTTAGCTCCCAAAGACTAACTCTAAATACTAATTAACCCAACAATATCCCCTAAGCCCAATACCCACACAAGCACAATACGTAACATAGAAAACCAAAGAAAACACCCAAGGCCGCCTAAAAAACGAGTTGCTATCATTCCTCCCCCCTTAAGGAACCTTGGTCTCCAAGGTTCGGTCCACGGCGAGACGCGGTGGTCGTCGTCGAAAGCAACAACAGCTTTTGTGGCGACGTTGAGTCGTCGGTCGCTTCCGAAACTTCCACCTCCTTGTCCGAACTCTGTTCTTCCTCGCATCGGTTGGAATGTCATCCAATTCCACACGTTCCACCCCCAGACGCTGCAATGATGGCAACCATTTGAACGATCCCGTCGATTGTCCGTTTTGAACAGTAGTTTTGTCTCTCTTGGACTGAACCCTGACCGTGGATTCCACCTTCTCGCAGCTTCGGAATCGATAGGTAAGAGCCTCGTCGAGGTGATAAACACCGCGGCGCAGTGTTTCCTTCCCATCGCTTCCAGATCGTTGGGTGAGAGCCTCGTAGAGGTGATAATCACCATTGCGCACTGTTTCCTTCCCGTCGATGTTATTGACGGGGATCTCAATCTTCTCCGCCGCCCTGACTTCATTGGCGTCGACGCGGGCCACATCGTCGTCGCTTCGCTTCCCGTCGATGACGGTCACGCGTTCGGGGATAAACCCTGCCAACAACTGTTCCAAAACATCCATCCTTGCCACCATGTTCTGACAGGTTGCAGTCATCTGGTCTGCCATGGCGCAACAGGCCTCCATGTTGAAGACCGTGCTCTGATGTCAAGCACAACCAGGCGTTGTCGATGTCTTCCCTTGGAGCTGTTTAGAGAGGCTATGATACCAATTGATAGCAACATGTTGCTATCGGGTTAGGGTTTGCTTGTAGCTCACAAGCGAGAGAACGACGTAGAGTGTCGAAAGACTGTTTTAGGTTTATTATTTGATTCATTAATCGGACTAATGTCGTTATTACAATATATAGACGACTAAACCTAATACCTAAACCATCAACCCTAGCCGACCCCTATTACTTCCCTAGGCCTCTCGGCCCTCTCCGATCCCAACACATAAACGGAGACTTAGCTCCCAAAGACTAACTCTAAATACTAATTAACCCAACAATATCCCCTAAGCCCAATACCCACACAGCACAATACGTAACATTGAAAACCAAAGAAAACACCCAAGGCCGCCTAACAAACGAGTTGCTATCACCCTTACAAGGGTTCAGTGTCAAGTTTCACCTTTTCGAGGTTGCACTTGCAAGGGCATGATAGAGAATTTCATTGACTTGATCAAACCCTTGTTTGTACTGTTGCTACTTCCTAACTTTCTATTGAACTCAATCTCCCTAGACTTTATTTTTTCGATCGTACTTGTATATAAACAGATTATCAGTAATATATCAGGAGGTTTTTATAAAGTAGTTCGTCCAATCACACACATTCATGAGTCCTTATTTCACCAACCAAGCAATCATCAATTCATATGTTGTAAGTTGATTATGTCACTACACTGAAAGCACAACGAATTTCGTCCAAGGACCAATAAGATTAGGGAGACAACCACAAAGTCCAAAGCATTGCAAGTTATGCAGACAACTAAAGCATTGTAGGCGACATTGTCCATGCCCACATGCAACACCTAGTGGAGGTGAACAAGATCGTTGAACTTTATGATTTTTTTCTTGTAACTTGGGTATGAACTTTGAGATGTATTTCTCATATATGTCGTTGAATTTTATGATATTTTTCTTGTAATTTGGCTTTTAACTTTAACATGTCCATGTCCACAATTGAACTTTATGATGTTTATCTAGTAACTACTGATTTTCAAGCTTGCAATCCATTTCATTTAGCCTCTTGGAACATCTTTAACCATTGAATCATACTAAAACACTTCTTAGAAACAAACTTAAAACTAAAACAAACTTAAACATGCACACAAAGTAGGCAATCTTAGGGTGTCTAAAACTTAAAACATACTTAAAATAAAAACAAACTACAAACTTAATCATTCATCGGAGACCATCCCTCATTTTATCCTTCTTGTCGCCCTCATCTTTGTCCTTTTTGTATCCTTTGATAACCCCATTGATGCATTATAGTTTCCTGCATCGGGAATTTTTAGCTAATTATGACTACTCCTAGGAAAACATAACGATAAACTGAACTATTCTTCTTCTCATTATCATAACTGAACCACAACGTACATATTTATAGTAAAACGTAGGAAAACCTAATAGCTAACCCTATCCCACTCTAACAAGGTAACTAATAACTTCCTCAACAAGACACAATAAACTAATACGAATAACTATAATAACCCAACAATTAACTAATAATAATATCTAATTTCTAAGCCCAAATCGGCACTACGGCTCATGGGTGCTATAATGCACCAAACCTACCCCCTTTGAAGAACTTTGTCCACGAAGTTCAAGCGACATCTCAACCCAGATCGATAAAGAAGTTAAAGAGAACTGATGTTTGTTGATGTCGACCTCGTTTATGGAACTTCCAATTGCGCTCGAGCACCCGAGCGAACCCAACTTCACTAGCTCGCACACCTTCTCTCTTTCCACGCATGAAACAAACTCCCTCACTCATTCCTTTAACCCTTGTCTCGTATGAGTGCATGAGAGCACCTTCCCATGCAATTTTGGATTACATGCCCTCCCTGTACTCCCACGTTGCCTTTATGTCCAAGTTCCAAACTTGACATTTCCAGAAAATCACCCGCAACTCTTGGTAACATGCGGTTGCCGAGATCATTCTCTTTTTCCGTTCGTCGCTTCCCAACATTGATCCCGAGCTCAAAACTTCTCCAAACATGGTTCGTGGCCCTGAAATTCATCACGTTGGACAACAATGCACGTCGCATAGCATGTCTTTTTGCAATTGGACCCTGACTTCCTTGGCCGTTGTCCTCTTCCGCTAGGTGTCGTCCCTCGTTACCTGCGATGATCGGAGTAATGGATGAGGATCGTGCAACGGTGGATGGTGTAACGGCAGCTCGTACGAAAGCTGGGGAGACAAGATCGGCAACGTACCATAGCACCGAAGCTACAGTTAAGTGAACTGAAGGCTGCCCTTGATCAACGGTGAACGTCGTGGCTGCGGATTTGGACGGCTCTTCATATAATGATGCTAAGCATGGCGAAGACGGAGCTACGGTTAGCTCGGCGTCGTTCGCAGGTGAGGATGAAGCGATTGATGGCGAAGGCGCTGCGGAAGCGTGGTGGGCCCATAACCCATAGGTCCCTGGATCAAAACCAGGCTCTGATACCAATTGATGCATTATAGTTTCCTGCATCGGGAATCTCTAGCTAATTACGACTAGGCCTGTCGGTTCGGGTAACCGAACCCGAAACCCGCAAAAAAAGAAAAATCCAACCCGGGTCACACAACCCGAAACCGAAAATTGTCCTTTGTGGGTTTCGGGTACTGGAACCCGAAAATTAGTCTGGCGGGTTCGGTTCGGGTGACAGTATAAAGCTAATATTTGTACATTCTTATTTAACTATTATGTTTAATTTTATGGGACGTGGACAGTATAAAGCTAATATTTACATATTAGTTTATTATTAAAATATTAGTTAATTATTATAATATTAGTTAATTAATAAAATATTTAATTTTATGTATCCTATAACTATAGACATACTATTAACTATTAAAGAGTATTAGTAGTTTAGAGACAAAGTAAACTACTTAAACATATTTTATACTTAACTTAGTACTATCTTATTTAATTGTGGATTTTCGTATAATTAAATGTTTTAGTAATACCATAGGTCCAAAATTGAAGGTATATCAACTATCATATGCAAAAAAATGTTTGGTGTTTGGTGCAAAATTATAAATAATTTTGTTCAACATAAAATACAGAAAATCATAGATGAGATTATCTTCAACTCGTAATTAAACACATTAGTTTTACAATTCTCAAATGATAACATCCAAGTAAAATAAAAATTCATCCACCATACAAGATAAATACTACTACCATTATCACTCCTCATCAAGCTCTACATCTACATAAGTCTCATCATTCTCATCGGAATTGTTGTCGACATAGTCTTCTTCCACTTGTGACATAGTAGGACTCGGGACCAAAACATGGGTAGCAGGAGAGCTTCCACTAGGTCCTGCACGAGAGCTTCCACTAGGTCCTGCAGGTGCACTTGCACTCCGAGCTTGAAAAGCTGCATATACTGGATAACATAAACAATAACAACCTGTTAGAATATGACTTGATCAAGATAACAAATATAAGAATAAAGAGAAAGATTGAGTCTTTACCATTTTGAAATACCATTTCATCACCCTCATCTTCTCGATCAGCCACCAACTCGGAGTCTGAAGATCTTATCCAATCTTCACAACTAATCAAAGCCTCCACAACTTCAGGGGATAAGGAGGTCCTAAACGAATCTAAAACTCGACCTCCTGTGCTGAATGCCGACTCAGAAGCAACAGTGGAAATAGGAACAGCAAGAATATCCCTAGCCATCTCAGAAATAGTAGGATATTTCATCCCACTTCGCGACCACCATCCCAAGATGTCAAACTTGTATTCCTCCTCTTCTGAACCCACCAATGCTCGTGTAACCACTTCATCCTCCTCCTCCTCCTCAAGGTACCTATCAAACTCAGATTTGGAACTTTTTCTAGTTCCTTTCAGAATGGCCTCTCTTTTCATTTTCCTAAAATCACCCCAAATCTTCCCTTTCTTCTTCCCATCCCCACTTCCACTAGGTTCTTGCACATCTTCCTGAATCACAATGGGAGAACTGCCAGGAAGTCCGAGCCTATGCTTGTAATGGTCAAACAGAAGACGCATTTCATCTTTCACCTCTTCGACCAAAGCTTTACCCCTGCTCTCACCATATACCTTTTTCAAAGCTTGTTCAAGATATTCAACTTTCCGCCTAGGATCTAATATGACTGCCATATAACACAACCGATTCATCTTGGAATTCTCCAACTCATCTTCAAACCAATACTTGGCAAGTTTGGACTTGATTCTCTCAGCCATGCAAGACACCTCAAAATCTATACCATCAGCCCACTCAGATATCATAGTATACATTTTACATACCTCATCAAACAAGAGGTGTAAAGTCACATATGAAGTCCCAGAAACTCGAACAGTCAAATCATAGAATAGCTTCAGGTAATCAATCAACCGTCCCACACTAGACCAATCATCAGAAGTTGTGATACCAAGGCTTTCATTTCCATATTTTTTTTCATTGAGATGTTTCTTGAATTTCTTATCATTTCTAGCTAATGTCTGAAATGCTTTCTCAAATGGCTTTGCAGATTCCAACATCAGATACGTTGAGTTCCACCTTGTAGCTAAATTCAAACGAAACAAATTTCTTCGACACTATCTTTTCAAACTCAATGCAATCTTTGAATTTTTTGCTCCTAGTTGGTGTAGATTTAACCCACTTCACAGACTCTCTCACTCGCTCCAAAAATTTACCAGTTTCTTTAAGCCCATCCTTCACAGCCAAATTAATAATGTGAGCCACACACCTCATCTGCAGATACTTGCCATCCAAAATATCTGATCCCCACTCTTTCAACTGTTCCCTCATATGGATAGCAACCACATCATTGACACTATCATTGTCCATTGTTATACAAAACACCTTCCTAATGCTCCACTCAACCACACAACTAGCCAACTGTTTTCCAATTTCACTTCCAGAATGTTTTGTAACTTGGACAAAGTTAATAATTCTTTTATGCAATTTTCAATCTCTACCAATGAAATGAGCAGTAATGCACATATAATTGAGATTGGACAAAGAAGTCCAAGTATCAGTGGTGAGCGATACCATCCCTAAACACTTAGTCTTGAAATAGTCCTTCAACAAGTCTCTATTTTAAAAGAACACCTTGATACAATCCTCTCTAACGGTCTGTCGGCTAGGTAACACAAACATTGGACAAACACGAGCCATAAACCATTTGAACCCTTCATGTTCAACATACCTAAATGGTAATTCATCTATGATAATCATCTCCGCTAAAGCTCTCCTAGCATCAATCTGATCGAATTTCCAAGTCCCAAGAGTGTGTACCTGGCCTCTAGAAGATGATAGATGGTCGACTATCAGCTCACCCTTTTCTATCTTTTCCAAACAACTATCTTTATGATTCCGCAGAGTAGAAGTCCCATATCTAGTGGGAGCCATAAGAACGGACTTTTTCCAGAAATACCACTGTTTAAAAAAAGAATTCCAAAAATACCACCCAACCCCAAAAAATTCCAAAAATACCACCTTTTTCAAAAACCGCCACCCCGCCCCTACGGTTTACACGAAAACCGCTTGTCGGGGGTGAGGTTTTCTATGCAAACCGCGGGCCTAGGGGGCGGTTATAAAAAAACATTTTGGATCAAACCGCTGGGTGGGGTGGCGGTTTGGCCCAAAACTGCCACCCCACCCAGCGGTTTGGTCCAAATTTTTTTTTTTTCGATCAACTCCCAACTTCGGGCGAAACTTCAAATGAACGTAACTTTGCACTCGGGCATCCAATCGTAGCGATTTTTTTTTCATTCCGCATAACTTTTCAAGATCTACAACTTTTACTAGGATAAAATTTTCAAAACAGGAACTATTTGTGGATATACGGGACCTTGAGAATAACTTTACCTTTACTTTTCACAAATCCATGTACATTTTGAAATTATGATTATTTTAAAAGTTGTAGATTTTGAAATGTTATGCGGAATCAAAAAAAATTTATAACATTCGGAATTCGGAGCACAAAGTTATGGCCTCCCAAAGTTTGACGAAAGGCGAGACCCGGCGGTATGCGGCTTGCAAGATCTCAAAAAGTTTGCGTCCTCCATTTTTTGAATCCGAATAAATTTTTGAGATCTTGCAAGCCGCAAACCGTTGGGTCCCGAATTCGTCTCGAAAAAACGTCATTTGCCACCCCGAACGAGCCTTTTTTTGATTTCGTCAAACTTTGGGCAGCCATAACTTTGTGCTCCAAAATCCGAATGTCATGAATTTTTTTTTATTCCACATAACTTTTCAAGATCTACAACTTTTAATATAATCATAATTTCAAAATGTACATGGATTTGTGAAAAGTAAAGGTAAAGTTATTCCCAAGGTCCCGTATATCCACAAATAGTTCCTGTTTTGAAAATTTTATCCTAGTAAAAGTTGTATATCTTGAAAAGTTATGTGAAATGAAAAAAAAATCGCTGCGATCGGATACCCGAGTGAAAAGTTACGTTCGTTTGAAGTTTCGGCCGAAGTTAGGAGTTGATCGAAAAAAAAATTGGACCAAACCGCTGGGTGGGGTGGCGGTTTTGGGCCAAACCGCCACCCCACCCAGCGGTTTGGTCCAATTTTTTTTTATGACCGCTCCCTAGGCCCGCGGTTTGCATAGAAAACCGCACCCCCGACAAACGGTTTTCGTGTAAACCGCAGGGTGGGGTGGCGGTTTTTGAAAAAGGGTGGTATTTTTGGAATTTTTTGGGGTTGGTGGTATTTTTGGAAATTTTTTTTAAACAGTGGTACTCTTGGATTTTTTCCCATAAGAACACCATTGCAATAAATGCATCTTGCTTTGTCCACTCCATCCTTCTTAAAACGCTTGAAGTGTGGCCAAACGTCAGACTTTTCTTTCCTTTTTCTTGAAATTGTCTCCTCGTTTATTGTTTGAGCAGGAGGTACATTGGTGGTACCAGTAGACGGTGCAGGAGCAGGAGCAGGATCGGAAGACGGTGCAGAAAATGGTGCATGAGCAGGAATGCTGGTACTCTTAGAGCGTCCTCCACGTCTAGGACGAGAAGCCGATGGTGCCTAACTAATGGAAGACTTCTAATCTCACTGTGGACAGCATTAATCTCATCTAGATTCCCTCAACTATCTCTCTCCAAGCTACACAAAACGTTCCCTTCCTTGCCTAGCTAATGCTGGTACCATGTAGGAAGTTAACTAGATGGAAAAAAATTGATAAGAGTTTGCTATTGAAGGATGAAGCTTCAGGTTTCATACATGGGTGTTTCAGAGCTCAAACGAAAAGTCAGTCAGTCTGTAAGCAGGACGATTGCATTACGAATTCGGCGTGCACAGCTCGGGTACAATACCATCGACGAAATGTTGGCGAATGTGTTCAATAAACTGTAAAGTGTTCTCTAACTAATATAATGTCAATCCTATACAAATCAGAAGCTTGAATTGGGTGTCGCCAATTCTTCTTCCTCTGTGGACGACGACAACATTACATCCCGATTGTTGAAACTGAATTCCCCTTTTTGAAACGAGAACAGAGCAGACC